GACCGCTGGCCTGTAAATGAGTGAAAACTGCAGAGTTCTGGCCATTAGATGTAGCTCGTCTGTGTTGGGACATTCGTGTTGGGAATGTCCATGGTTTGAGAGAGGAGTAAAAGAAGCCATTTTTGTGAAGAAAGACCGTCCATCATTAAACAGAGGTGGAGGCCTCCGTTTTCAGCTGTCCTCCTACAGCACGGCCATTGCCGGTATCACTCCACCCCCTGTTAACAATAGGTGTTAATTAGGTGTCAACAATAGCCATGTGATGTGAGTATCAGTCACAGGGAGGCAGGTCTTAAAAGCCTGAATTTTGCCTGAAACTCTCAGACTGAAGAAGTCTCTTGGAGGAGAGACAAAACGTTTCATTAGAGAAGAACCCGTCCAGAAGACCTATATATATTTTTCTTTTTGATTTTTTACCTGGATTGCTGAGATGCATCAGGACACTTACAAAAAACTACATGTTCAGGCAGAGAAATTATCTCTCCACAAAAAAAATAAAAAAAATAAAGCTAAACAAAACAGAGAAAAGAAATCAGCAGGGTGCCTGGGGAAAAAAAAGTTGAATCAATAAGCAAAATAAATCCAGGCTGCACAGCGGGCCCTACGGAGTTGAGCATTCTCTCGTCATAATTATCATTTCTCCTGGACTGCAGTGGAGGGCTGCGGGCGCTGGCACGGACCTCTGCAGCTCCGTGGCTGTAGTGCTGTTGTTTGACTTTGCAGGGCAAGCCRCATCACATCCAATTCAGAGTGTGGGAGGGGACAATCCCCGTGGTAATTGGTACCCGGGAACTTCGTCTCAGCTGGTCGTATAGGGAACACACACCAGGCAGAGGATGCACGGAGGAAAGCCACACTGAAGCAGCAGAGTGCAGAGGTGTTAGTGGGGAGTCCGATCTGTGATCCCATGTCACAGTGAAATGAAACAACACCTCCCCTTTTTTTTTCTGGACGCAACAAGGCTCGCTGTCTTGCACTCTCCTCTTTTTCATCATTCTTGACTTTATAGAAATCTCAGTCGGTGACCTTTAAGTGCATGAGAAAAAAGAAAGTCCACTCTGTTTCACTTCTAGACTTTTACATATTGGGACGTAATAAAAACCATCTTTGCAGCGTTTATAAATAGATTTAAATCCAATCCATCAAGTGTACAGAACCATTCAACATATTCCCCTATGTTATTATTCATTAAAGGAAAATAAGGCCTAAATTGCTGCTTTGATAAGATTTAAGAAAAAAAAAGTAGCAGCCCGGTGCCTCAATTACCAGGATAAATGTTAAAATTTATGACAYGACAATTAGAAAGTGTAAAGAAGTATGGCTTGTTAGGAAAGGTTGCAAAAGTGAAGCCTTTTCTGTCTAAAAAGCAAAACATGGCAGAACAACTTAAGTGTGTAAAATTAAACGTGAATGAACCACGGGACTTTTAGAACAATGTTCTTTGGAGAGATGAGACCAAAGCAGGGTCCACAGTGTCATGTTTGGAGAAAACCATATACTCCATGCCAGCTGTTAAGYACGGTGTTGGAAGGCTGATGGTTTGGGCGCCCTGATATCGTTGAGTCAACCAAGAGCTCTTATGTATGTAAAACAAAAGATCYTAGAGTCAAACGTGATGCTGTCTGACAGCTTCAAGGGAGGGGAATATGCAAAATTGAATTTTTGGAGCTTTAAAGGGGGCCTATTATGCAAAAATATATTTTTTAAATATGTTTTTATACTTGAGTTTGGGTCTGTGCTGCTTCTAAAAACAGTCTAAGTGTCAAAGAAAAATACTCCCAGATTTTTTAAATCTCATTATCTGAAAATGATTTTGTGTTTTAAATCTATAATGAACATGTTTTGTACACAGATGTATGCTAACKCTTATGTTCAAGGAACCATAAAGGATCCCCTTTAAATCACGTTATAATTGTGTTTCCTCATTAAAAACATACCCAGACTGTTGATTTGAGTCATTCATGCATGTTTTGAGAAACCCTTGTGATAGCAATTTGGAGCTGCCTTAACACTTGCTGGTACAAAGCACCATATATTTACCCAAAGCTCCTCCCTGAATCTCAGTCAGCAGCCAAGCCCCTGCTCCACAGAGCACCCCTCCCCTGCGCCTCCCCCACACTGCTCCACCAGACTAGAAAAACTATCTTAAAAAAGGTGAATGTTTATTCATTATAAAACATAGTTGTTTTTTTTTTCATAAACAGTAGTTGAACATTAACGTATATGTATATGTATGAGAGGATGACTGGGAGATGTATGACCAAGCTAAAACAGCTTGTGAGATCTTCAGTACTCACTCCGGTTCTTCAGAAAATGTACTTGCAGGGTTAAATGTGGGATTATTTCAGTAAGGTTCAACTGTATGCTGAATTGCCATTTTCCAAAACAGATATATTTTTTTTAATGTTGCTTCTTTTTTGGAACAAAATATAATACTCCAACAGAAGGTTGTGAACTTCTTGTCAAGCATTAAGATGTGCTGAAGTGGGAGTGTCAGAAACAGTAGGCGGTTCTTAAAAAGACAGAAGCCAATGTCAGGGTATATATATAGGGTATGACGTGAAGTCAAATTAATTTWTGTATGTATGGTTTTTCATAACAACTGAAGGTAACATAGTTACTTGATTGAGGTATAGAATTGAACTATGTGCCTGGAAAATACATAATATAAGCTTAATCAAAGTGTAATTRTGCAATAAGACAATGACCTAAAACACAGCTGCAAAGACTCAAAAGAATGGCCAAAAAAAAG